TGTTTCCACACAGCAATGTGTTTCGATGCAATTATAACTGTCGAATGTCGCCGTGAATGATGAAATCAAGTTGAAACTACAGTATTTCATAGATTATGTCTTTTGGTGGTTCTGAAATAACCAGTCAGAACAGATGAAAAACGTTCGCATGCGTACAAAGTACAAATTCAAACTGTCTGTCTATCCACACTGGGATCTCGCCTCACGGTTTCTCTGAGTGACGATCCGCGTCCAGTCCTCGTCCCCATGTGTTTATACATGACAGAACCGAGGCTTACATCTATGGTGTCGACGTTTGTAATCTGTCCATTGTTTTCATGGAATGACTTCTGACTCCGAGAAATACACTCATTTGCAAATCAATCTGGTTTTCACGGGAGACTCAACGGAATCTCTCGTTTAAGATATTCTACAACTGAATGTGCTGCACACAGGCCGCCTCATGATTCAGTTGGCATGATATTCGAGATATCGCAGTATAGTTTCAAAAAGGAGACTACTCACAAGGTTGGTGAAAACACTTCGACATCCCAGGACCGGTTTCGCCCTTCCACTTTGGGCTCGTCAGGTGGGCGCAGTCCCCGAGTTTCCGTCAACTTTGCGTTCTACTTGAACCCAAATTGGACTGATGGCGACTAATACACTCATTTGCAAATCAATCTTCGTTAACCTGTTGTTATTCATTGTCTCTTGCCGTTACTCTTTATCGTCAAAGTTTTGTCGGAATTGTCCATGATGAGTGGCTGTCAACGCCATCATCATGTTCGAACCCCAAACCTGGACAACCATGAGACTGTGTCTCTGTAGGTGTCACAAGCACACATTTCGAAGTGCAGTTCATTCAATTGTAGAATATAATGAACGAGCGATTCAGTTGTCTCTCGTGAAAACCAAACTGATTTGCAAATGAGTGTATTTCTCGAAAACAGTCCAGTTTGAGTTCGAGTAGATCATAAGGTTGACAGAAACTCGGGGACTGCGCCTTTCTGATGAGCCGGTCCCAAGAAGAGCGAAATCGGTCGTGGGTTGTCGAAGAGTTTTCAGCAACCTTGTGAGTAGTTTCCTTTACGAGACTTCCGACTCCCTTCTAACAGTCACTCTGTATGGGACATTCCGATGCGCAAAGCCTTATGATCCTCTAGGGAGGGGGGGGCAACAAGCGATTAACCATTTCTGTGGGGAACCATCCACTTTGGGGTTACTTGAGTAAGACAAACAACAGGCCTCAAAAACGATTTGAACTTGTTTGATTGATTGATTGATCAAGTTTTCACAGAGAGACATTTTCAACCAGTATGCTTATAAGCTTGAAGAAGGCCGGCAAATTTTCCCAAAGTTTTACAGACAATGAGTGAATTCACCTTAATACCGTATTCTAAGCCCTGTTTCTCAGAAACGGGTACCTTTCCCTCTGCATTAATCCGTTTTGTGTGATGTGAGGAGATTTCGAGATGTCAGTCCAGAAGCATTCTTCAGCTGTTTCAGTATCTCGTAGAACTCCAGCAGGGAGTTCGACGTTGGCCACGAGTAAATAAAGGTCTTGGTTTCAAGAAGCCTTTGAGCTTCGTGAAATTTACACTGCAGATGATTTCCAATAAGAATGAAACGTTTGTACAGTGCTAGTTGGCTTTTCAGCATGGACTAGCTTCACTCCGTCATGAATAATGTCGCTGTACCAACTGGAAACCGCCTAGTTCGACTGCGACGAACCTAAAGACCAGGAATGGAAGGTGACGTGACCCACAAACATTCACTTTGGCCACAGAATTGAAAACAAACACTGATACTAGATATTTATTTAATGATCATCGTGTCGAAATGTTCTCCTCCATCTTATAAGTAGTATCTTCATGAGCACAAGTACTCTGCTGTCTGGAACATCAACCCAAGGGAGACGAGAGACCACCTTCGTGAAGTAGGTAGACGGCGGATTCAACTGAGTCTCAGATCGATATCATTTTGACAGTCGGATAACGATGCATTCGAACTTTCAAACCTTTTGAAGCGCGCGACTGGGGTCGAAAATACTTCCTGGATCATTTTTTTGTCTTAAGCGTTCGTCCTTATCTCTGCAATCAGCCGGCGCAAAGAAGCGTTGAGCAAATGAGCACTCATACGACAAACTTTGATCGACTCTGACCACAAGAGAAGTGAGCATCTCGCTTAAGAATGCATCTCACAGCCTACCGGTAGCTAATCGATTGCTTGATACACCAAAGGATGGCAGTGCGCAGCATCACGGGAATATTAATTCATTGTAAACACTGATATCAGTGTAACTAGCTTGAGGTGGCTCAGTGGTCAGAGTGCGAATTTACTGACCGGGTTCGAACCCAACCCCAGGACATCTCGACTGCCCTTGTCTAGGCTTGAGCAGCTTGGCACTATCTCAGCCTTCGTGCTTTCGTTGGGTCGCATGGCAACTCGACACCAAAAGGGCACGACAGCTGAGCGATTATAACTTTTTATCACAATTCGCTTTGAGAGAAACTTGAAATTCGCTGATACGATACTTTGCATGAATGATCAGAGTTTCCATTGGGTAGACCTATGTGTACAATGTAGATCGATGCGTACAATCTATTGTGTTTGCATGGTCCAATCCGACCACCTTCAAGAGCATAAATCATGAGCGATGGGTTAACATCCTGGTCAAGGTTACGAAGTTGCCCCATATTCAATGCCTGATGGTTCTAGATAGACCAAGTCACCGGATAAGGAAACTTAATATCATTGAATTTTCCGAATTTCTCATCATCAACTAAGCGTCAATCTGTTGTTCTTCTAAAAAAGGTGTAAAACATGCGATAAAAAACTCGCACAATCTTCGCATTATATTCTAAACATGAATTGGTTTCGACAGAGACTGTCACAGACACCTGTAAATCAGTAGGTATTAGTCGATATGATCCCAAAGGCTCTAAAACTTTCTATCGAGCGAGGTATACCACTTAATACTTTTCATAAGTTACTTTCATTTTCATGAAGGAAACTACTCACAAGGTTGCTGAAAACTCTTCGACAGCAACCTTGTGAGTAATTTCATTTATGAAGATATACTGCAATTTGGGTTCAAGTAGATCATAAGGTTGACGGAAACTCGGGGACTCCACCTACCTTATGAGCCCCAAGTGGAAGGGCGAAACCGGTCGTAGGCTGTCGAAGAGTTTTCAGCAACCTTGTGAGTAGTTTCCTTTACGAAACTATACTGCGATATCTCGAATATCGTGCCAACTGAATCATGAGGCTGCCTGTGTGCAGCACATTCAGTTGTAGAATATCATAAACGAGAGATTCCGTTGAGTCTCCCGTCAAAACCAAATTGATTTGCAAATGAGTGCATTTCTCGATCACTTTCATTTTTTTGCTAAGGCGTTTTGTGGCATGAACCGACTACAGTCAGGTGTGTT